GTCATTGTATTGTGCCAACTTCAGTGCTTCCCTGACAGTACAATCAGGCGTGTCTACCCTATCCAGCATCGATGACCTCGTCGACAGTGACTACACTGTTGGCATGTTTGATGCTGGTATCGCATATGTCATGCTCCAAGTATGTTTCCACATGTGGATTTACCAGTAGTGAAATCGTATGCTCCAGTTAGGGAACGGTATGCATCAACATGCGACAGCATGCGACAGAATGCATCCAAATCAGATTGTATTTTATTTGTCAATGTATCTGCCCAATGTCTCCGTTGTCACTATAGATGGTGACCATTGATTATGCTTACATCTCTATTACAACCAGACTGCTGTAAATAGCTTTCGTGGTCAAGTTTCCATTGTCGAAATGAAAGCAAACTCTTATGTTGAATGACGTGAATACTATTACCACGTAGGGATTTCGTTTGGCTCATGCTTTTATTTAGATTATTTTGGAAAGTATCTGCATTTATTTTGTAAGCACTAAAGGATTTTGGTTTAAGTCAGGAATATTAATTACTTTTATTTGTCGGAATAAAAGTGGAAATGACGTACAGTGAAAGCTAATACAGACCAGTGAAATCGTCCATAATAATACATTTCCTGATTGCTTTCTTACAAATTGTTAATATCATTATTTTATGTTCATTGATAACAGAAAGTTTACAAGCAGTGTTGTCGGTACTAAGAGTGCTTCACGTTAGATACATGTTTTGTATTTCCATCCAGACGTCCAAACGACCTGAAATTCAACGTCTCCATGACAAGATGCGACAACTTAGTGAACACGACTCCGAGATATTTATGAACAACCGGACAGCCCACATGATCAGGGTTAAACAAGGAGGATACGCCCATATACTTTACAAATCCGCGGCAGCAAAGTTCCTGTCTGAAGACTGTTACCTCGCCCTGATAGGAGAATCTCCGTCTATGGCTCAAGAACATATTTCCTTTGGAATACTTAAAGGATCACCACTTAAACATGATATTGACAAAGTGTATGTACAAGAACTTTCCAATCATATTTGCATATTTTGTAGTATGCTTAACATGGAAGAATATACTTCTCTCGTTGTTGTAACACAATTAAGTACCATTTATCATCAATTCACCTTTTTAAATATACGTATATACAAACGATTGTCACTTGTTGGATATTTGATTAACACAACGTACAGATCAAATCAATATAAGAACACATCAGATTGTAAGAACTGTCGAGAGTTGGGTCCTTTAACTCTCGGGATCCGATGGTAATGACTGCGGAAGTAGCTCTGGGTTCTTATCCTCATTTGGACAATACCTTGTGTTTATTTCAAGCTTGTTGAGCTGGCATGTCGTGAAAAGAATGGAATACTCCTAACGCGTCGTAACCTCCTGCTTAACTCTTTTTCCTAAATAAGTAGGTGTTCCCGGAACGTTCAGCTAACGTACGTCATGTTGCGAGGTACCAATGTGTCAGTTTCGCCTGCGCGTAACATGGTGGAAGCTAATAAAAAATGAAAGTGCACTTACGAAGATTGGTTAGGGTGGCAATGATATTCGAATCATTTGGTCCCACATATTCGCTTTTCCTAGCACAAATATTGCAATACCAACGGCATTTGGTTGGTTATGTTTCTTCAACCTATTTCATAAACATATCCGTGGTTAACATCTGAACAAATAATGTAAGGTTAGTCAGTGAAAACAACCCACGTCACAACTTTGAGTTTGTGACAACATGTATATTGGCTTATTTCAGTATGTACAAGCTGAAGGACATCATGTATATTGGTTTATTTTAGTATGTACAAACTGAAGGACGTCATGTATATTGACTTTCTACAGTATGTACAAACTGAAGGACGTCATGTATATTGGCATATTTTAGTATGTACAAGCTGACGGAAAACATGTATATTGGCTTATTTTAGTATGTACAAGCTGAAGGACATCATGTATATTGGCTTACTTCAGTATATACAAGCTGACGGAAAACATGTATATTGGCTTATTTCAGTATATACAAGCTGACGGAAAACATGTATATTGGCTTACTTCAGTATGTACAAGCTGAAGAACAACATGTTTATTGGCTTATTTTAGTATGTACAAGCTGAAGGACATCATGTATATTGGCTTACTTCAGTATATACAAGCTGACGGAAAACATGTACATTGGCTTACTTCAGTATATACAAGCTGACGGAAAACATGTATATTGGCTTATTTTAGTATGTACAAGCTGAAGGACATCATGTATATTGGCTTTCTTCAGTCTGTACAAGCTGAAGGACAACATGTTTATTGGCTTTCTTCAGTATGTACAAGCTGAAGGAGAGTGGGTTGCTGGATATATGGTGGAAGAAGTGGACTTCCTGGGACAAGACCACCACTTCATGTGGAGTTGCCGGTCGCGGTGTCAGGACCATCACACTGAGAGACATTGGAGGAAGCTTTCTTGTTGCGTGTGGAGGACTAGGCTTTTCAAGTCTTGTGTTGATAGTAGAGATATGTAGACACCGGTTACAAAGGCGATGAAAATCGAACCTTGACTATTTATGTAATATTAACGACGCAGATACTTTTTTCAAAGGTACTATCCCCGCCAGCGTCATACCCAAAATACGGTAAAAGATTGTACTTGCTGTTACCCTTGCTGGCGCTCGGCATTAAACCTCATTTCACCTCACCCTATAAAACGGTTGGCAATGTCGAAAACCATTTCTTTGGGAAAGCCAGATGCTTCAATCTGGAAATGATACCATTAAATGTGTGTAACTGAACGTCAACATACAGCCTCTACTTCACGATCCTTGTTGTCGAGAGTGCAGTCAACTCAAACAACTGTTACATCGAACTGGTACAAGTCTGTGTATCATAGACTTAATGAGACATAATGAAACTTAATGAGTCAATGATTAGAGGAACAGATTATGCTAAAGAGGAAACGTTGACGATCGAAACCCATCGGGAAGAGCTAAAGCAATCAACACCCGTCCAGGATCGTCTCATCAGGACCAAGGTTTTATGGAATCGAAACCAAACCAAACAGATCGACAACCACTTAGACAGGGCAATTGGATTTAGATTTCCAGACAGGAAAATCATTATAAATACATTTCATGCTGTTGTGTGTTCGACGGCCACTACTTTTATTCCAACGTTTGCCTGATCAACAACATGCAGACCGATATCAATGGAGCAGAAACATTAAGTACTAGTGGAATAAACAACCGTCACGTATGTGTTCCTTGACTGATCCAGATTCATTCTCGACTACCTTGAACATCAAAAACGTTAACATCAAAAAGACTCCAGCCGTCAATCAACCGTGACCAAAGCTGTTACATACCTCCGGCGTACCATCAACTCATCAAAGACCCCGATCAGCCATAATCCCGTTGTTTATATTACTGGCTTCATCTTTTGTTTATGTGACTGACTTCACCGATGATTGTCATCACTACCCTTGTGTGTATATAACAGGCTTCTCTACTCCAGCATAACAATATCTACTCTACTGTATAAACATTCAGGAACTTCGAAACATGCTCAAGCAGATATGGACAGATATCCCACGGGACTTTGTACGACGCCTGGTCCTTTCCATGAGACAAATATGTGTTGCTTGCATCGCAACCGGAGGTGGACACACACGCTTTCGATTTGTTAATTGACATTTTGGCATGTTCGGGTTTTTTTTATGAAATCACGCATTTCCTGAAGTCAGTATGGCAAATTAAACCATTTGAACACTCACAGGGGTCTTTTATTTGCAAACCGAAATTGTTTCAGATTTGGTAAAAAACATAACTTTCCATTAAATCAATGACAGGAACTTTTGTTGTTCAGTATATATATGTTCATGTATAGTGTTGGTGTACTGCCATGGCCGACTGTTTCTCCAGACCTCTCCCACATAGAACATGTCTTGTCTTTATCAATGCATTTGTTATACTAAAATATTCATCAGACGAATGAGTACGTATTGTCACGTGTCAATTCCCAAATTGAAACAATACGTTAACCCAAAATCTATACGTATAAAGAACCTAGTGTGAAACCAACAAACAAACAACAAATGGTATACAATTATCGATTGTATTACAAAATTAACTAGGTTCACAAATCAACACAAATTACTGCACAGCAATTACAATGACAGTACACAATAGACTGGCAGTACAATGTTTAATGATAGTATAATAATATGATGACAGTGGTCAGTATCAAATACTAAAATACAGTCATGATAGCAAGTGTCAGTGATAATAAGATATATTCACCCAGCGGCGACAGTGGCACACTCTCTTTTTGCCGCTAACATAACATTGTTGTATGTTTCATCAGATTCTGATACATTAAACTCTGATTTTAGGTAAACGTAACTGCAAGATCAGGATACTTGTATGTATTCATAGCCCGCCTCCCTTGTCTAGTGGTAGAGCGTCCGCCCGGATCGAAGACAGGAAGGTCTGGGATTCGATCCCCGACAGCGTCATACGAAAGGACGTTAAAATATGGTACTTATTTGTACCCTGCCTGGCGCTCGGCACTAAAGAGACTTGTCGGTTCGGAGTCAGTATACTGTGTCTGAGTGGGGTATTCCTGTTAACCTGCGGTATGGTATCTTAGTGGGCTAGCACACACACACACACACACACACACACACACACACACACACACACACTTCCCAGTGACATCAAACATGAGATAATTGTAATAAAACATGCATCATATAATATATCTTATAATTTTATAAATGGCAGCATGACTCGTATAAAATAGCTTAGATGATTATGTTCAAAGTGGTCATGTATATCATTATATATCAACCACAGGCAATTGCATTGATTTTGTCATTACTTCCACAAGATCATTGCAAACAAATTTGTCGTAAGCAAACAAACAATTTGAAAACATTAATAGGTTAGGCCAAAGACTTCGCATAAATACGACATTGTTAGTCTGTCCATATCAGTGTGGCTTCAATGTGCAACATGTTCGGACATCGTATTTCCAAGACGTGCATATATGCCACCGCCATTGCCTTGGTTCACATCTATTGTGTGCAGCACCAGGGTATCTTTGCAAAAGGTAAGCCCAACGTAACATGTAGATCGTTTTAATGCATCTTTATATGGCATTATGAATAACGATAGAGCCTTCTTGCGACGAGACACGTGTGTCGAGGTTTCAATGTCCTCATTCTGGACAATGGTTATGGTGCCAGTGTAAAGTGCCACCTTACTGGCTTCTCGAAGCTCTGACTGCAGCACAGTCAGATGTATGCCTATCATATCCGGCATCAATGATCTAGTCGGTAAAAAACGGTGTTTAATGTACACATCCACATACAGGGTTACATTATGTAGACCTGTACAAATCGGAACGTTTCGTGTTTCTTTGCCGTCTTACAACATCTACATTATATACATTGTTCAAAATACAATCCATGAACGCATTTAAAAGGGTACTTGATTATTGAAACATTTTTTTAATGGACTGGTTATTCTCTTGTATTGGCCATTTATATTTACTAAAAATTATATATATATATATATCAGTTGTAATAAATGTTTGTAGTTCTTCCTTCTTACTGGATATACGTTCATCTACTTGTTTGTTATATTTGTTTTAGTTTCTGTTGATCCTTCAATCAATATTCTATCCGACTTATTCCAAATGTATATCATTTCACAGAATGTGTCACTTCCTCACTCCAAGTTTGTAATGTGAACATGTTGTTTTCAACATATCCAGTTTTATAAAACAGATGTTTGGTAGATATATGCACAATACAATATGGAAATCATCTTAACTTGCTTGATGGAGCTGTCTTATTAATAGCTTTACTAATTTGTGTTTCTCCTATTTCTTTTTATCACCCGGTTTTTCTTATTTTCTGCATGACAGTATATCAAAAACATATCCAGACCACTTTCGACTCCCCATAATATTCTTTACATGGTGAGAAATAAATATATTTTATGGATGTCAGAGATAAACATTTTGATTCACAATATTTTGTATGGTCCGTGTAACACTTTATTGAACCAAATTTGCTGTACATTATATACTAACGGAAAAAAGGTAATTGTGCGTCATATGAATTAATGTAAATGATATTAACAATAACGTTTCATAAATGTTATATCACAACTAATTCTTGACAAAACCCATCTGAAAACAGGAGACAGCGGGACACGCCCTAAAAGAGGGGTGGTGTAATAACCCAAATAAAAATGTCAATAGCGGGTGTGACCACCACTTGCGTTGATACAGCGGCGCCATATTGACAACACCAGATGATTGATGGCCAGCCAGGGGGATGTTGTTCCAAATGTTTTCCAAAGACTGGCCCAACTGAGCTAGCGTTACTGGCTGGTTCTAGTCCTGTCGTTGGGGTCCTCCAAAACATGCTCTGGTGGGGAGAGGTTTTGAGAATCAGGCGGACATGGCAGTGCAGAAATGTCATGTTGCATCATAGGTCTGTTACAACACGTGCAATTTGTCGCGACGTCACGTTCCTGTATCTGCACCTTTGTAGAACATGATCTCGAACGATGTCGTTCCGGTAGCGTATGCCATTCAAGTTACCATTAACAATGATGAGTTTTGATTTTCCATGAGTTGAGATGCCACCCTATACCATTACACTTCTACCCCGAAACTGGCAACGTTGTGTTATACAAGTGTCGTTAAACATATCTCATGGATACCTGTAGGCCGCCAGCGCTGTCCAGATGAAACTTGGACTCATCTTAAAATGGATACTGTCATAGTTTTGTCTTCTGAAACCCAGATGCTGTCAACGCCAAGGTTAGCGTGCCTGACGGTGACGAGGAAGCACAATTGGACGTATCGCTTAAAGTTAGTTTAGGATGTTGTACTCCCTCGGTTGTGGTAGGTTCTGCCACTAATTAGGCTCAACGTAGGAACTGTCCGAGATGCACCAACCGAATGTGATTGTCGTGCATGACCTCGCAATATAGGTGTTTCTGTCTTTCAACTTTCAACGTTCCTGTTTGCAAAATATCCAGGGCGCGATGACGTTGAATTTCAGATGTGGCATTTCGTAACTGCTGTTTAAGGTGGTTCAAGTTGTTTTATGAGCACCTGATAGCAAAGAAATCACTGTGCGCTGTTCACATTACAAACACACTTGAGTATCATTCTCCCAACAAACACCCATTAACATGCACGTGCAAATCGTGCATTATGACCTCGAGAAGAGCTCTTAATGAACATGCATTATTTAACTGCTGGTTTGATTTTAATTTTTATTGAACTTCATGTGAAGCAGTTACTTTTTTTCTGTTAGTATAATACATATTCCAAGTTATAACCAATAAAATGAACACATCCTTATTTAAATTGTTAGGTGAATCTATCCATTTTTTTGTTATTGTTACTCGCATCGATTCGTACTGCAGCCACGAGGAGGATGTATTTACATTTTGCAGAAAACAAGAACGTATTATCTGTTAGTATGCAAAGGCAAGATCTTGTATCAAATTTCTCTTTCGGGACGATTTTCAAGCAGCACCATGAATTATAAGAGGTGGCATCAATACAAAGAACTATTTAACACAATTACATTTTAGTAAGACAAATCTAAGCACATACATAATGATATTGAATGTAAGTGGAAGAATGTACAGGTACCTGCATGAAAAATTATGCCAAAATTTGTTTCAGAGAATTGTAATAACAGTACATCATCCACATGGAATATATATAGACTGATTGATCGGCTCCAATGGAAGTCTTTTGCAACTATTCAAGACAAAGACGAGGGTAAGAAAAAGTGATTGGTCGAAACGACAGAGATATAGGAAAAAATAAATTTATTATAACTTGGATAATATGTGTACATGTTTGTTCTTTGGTATGATCACTATGGCCACTGTTTCAGTTGTACATTAACGTTGTTAAGACAAAGTGGCATCTTTAGAAGCTGTACTATCAAAGACGACACTTGTTTAGAACCGCTTTGCAAGATGAAGCTGAAAGTCAACTCTGTCGTCAATGGATCACGAGGGGAGGCAGAACAGTTCTAAGCATAACTATGATAGATTGCGTTGAGAACTTGCTGGCTAATAATGTTTCAACACACTCCCCTCCATGGTCCACATGCTTCTGCCAACGACGCTAGCGTTCCTGGATCCCACCGGTGTAGAAGGTTTCCTCTCGTGAATAATGCTTGCCAGGCAGTTCAGACAGTCTTCAAGGTCTGTGACAGGTATAATTTATGAGGGTGCCAAATCTGGTGAATACGGAGGATGTTCAATGACTTCAAAGTCACCTTTAGCGAGTTTTCTGCGATGTTTGATCTTGATATTCTCAAGCAGTTACCAAAGCACAATATTCGCCGTTAATGATCTGTCCTCTCGGGAGGTAGCCCATCATCAGAATTCCTTTGGAATCCAAGAAAATCGAAAACCTTACCAGATTTACCTTCTTCGAAGGAAACGGTTGATGATTCTACTGCTTTGACTGTTGTTTAGTCTTTTGCTGATAGTGATGAACCCAAAACGCATCCATGGTTACACATCGCTCAACAAAAGCAGCTGATTCTGCTTCAAAACGACGTATATTCGCACGAGAGATGATGGACGTTTCTGATCAGGTGTCTTAACCTGCTTGTTGGAATCCAGCATGCTGAAACCTATGTCATGTCCATTCCAGTTCAGTGAGTGAGTGAGTGAGTGAGTGAGTATGGTTTAACGCCGCCTTTAGCAATATTCCAGTGATATCACGGCTGGTGACACCAGAAATGGGCTTCACACATTGTACCCATGTCGGGAATCAAAACCGGCTTTTCGAGCGAACGCTTTCACCACTAGGCTACCCGAACACCCCCAGAATGTTCTCAACTCTCTTATGACAGATGTCGTCTTTATTGACCATGTGACATACGGTGGTGAGGCGTCGAATATTCATTATCATATCATGTATTGTATCCACATTTTCCTTCTGGGTGGCATTTTAAGGCCACCCTAATCTTGGAACTTCGAAATCTTCGTGGAATCTTGGCTCATCATCAGCTCAGGTGTCTTGCCCCCACTACACACAGCCCAGACGACAGCGAATGGGTCTTCTCCCAGGAAGCGCTGCCTAGTCGTACCAACCCAGAACTTTTCGGAGAATGTGACTCCCCAACACTGCAGCCTTCTGCATTACCCAGATTGTCAGAAGGGCTGTATTCCTGTAGCAAACTTGGGTACTCTCCCAATGTCTGTCGGCAGATTGGGAAGAACCAAACCTAAGGCACCGATAATCTTGGAGAGTCGGATAACTTGGTACTTGAGATGCAAGCGTGACATTTCGAAAGCGAGATCTGATATTTGCCATGTTTTTGCCTGAATCCTGAATGAAATTAGCGTGAAAGGGGACAAAAAATTCAATGGTATAAATGATTTTCAAGGTTTGTTGGCCTGGATCTGTCTGAGGCTGCATACGGACCTATGCCAAAGGATTTTGTATTTATTATTTTCCATGACACCCTCCATTATTATTATTGTTGTTGTTGTTGTCCATTATTATTATTGTTGTTGTTGTTGTTGTTAACATTATTTGGATGTTTCAGAGGCAGTATTCCCTCACCCTGTAAAGCAACAAGTATATAACGTAAATAGGATAAACAGTAGCCGTGTGATGGAGAGCATTCACAGTTTAATGTTTCCGGAAGTAAACATCATTATGGCAGTCAACGACAGCTCAACATTGGAAGTGGTGGCCGAGGTGATTATTATGTATACATGTGTGACTTGTTATACTTTCTGATTAGTCTGGAATCCATGGCATCTAATCAAAAAGAGTAGATCACAGACATGTATGAAAATGGCTGTTGAGTCAGAAAAAAACACAACACGATCGGACCAGTGAAGATGCGGGGTAGCATAGGTCTTCAGCAACCCATGCTTGCCGTTAAAGGCGATTATGCTTGTCGTAAGAGGCGACTAACGGGATCGGGTAGTCAGGCTCGCTGACATGGTTGATGCATGTCATCGTATCCCAATTTCGTGGATAGATGTTAATCACTGGATTGTCTGGTCCAGACTCGATTATTTGCAGACCGCGGTCATATAGCTGGAATATTGCTGAGAGCGGCGTTAAACAACAACAAAAAAACAACAACAAACAATACGATAGAGAAAGTATCACATTAATTACTTGTTTATTACTTCTCTGTATTGCACAAATGTCTACACATATTTACCATACAAGTGACCGTAGACATCCATCCACTATATAGGAATTTAAGTGAAAAAGAAGGAACAGATTATAAATTTAGCATCTTATATCATATTGCCAGGACCTTTGTAATATATTGATGTACTAACAAGCACATGCGTTCTAGAATGATAATAACATACTCTATTTTCAGTTAGACAAATTTGATTTCGAGTCGCATCGCACCACTGATTTCCGGCATCATTCGAAGATTGTCCTGATCATGAAGAATGACAGTAATCTAGAAAATGTGGCTCTTGCTGTACAACATCTTGAAAACGTTGCAGCAATTATTGTCAAAGACACTCCATGGGTGAGTGTTAATATTTTTGTACGGTGTCTTGGTATTGGTAAAACACATACTGAAACTCAACAAATCATTTTAGAGAAGGGAGGGGTGGGGCTAAAAATGCAAATTCGCTCAAATGCCCGCCAATGTAGGTAAACTAATAAAGTGATCTTTTCTGTCGGAGGCCAAAGAATACAATTCAAAATTTCCGTTTATTTATGACCAACTGTTGATGTTGGAAAAGAAAAGTGAGTTCCCAAATAAATACAAAAAAACTTATCTCTAACCCAAATCTCACCCCACTCCCCGACCTCGAATGGTTTCTCCCTCAATAGTTGTTGCATACCAATGACATCTGGTGCGAACAGATGTAATGATGCTCGGTTTAAGAGATTTTGACAGTAATCCTTTTTTCAAATAGCAAGTCTCATATTATAGTATGATTCGTTCAGAATTTCATTCTTCATATGCATTGCTGACACTGTACTCAACACAACAACTTATCTTTCAGACTGAATCAACTGTCGAACAAATATACACACTTCACTTTGTTCCTACAAGCAGAGTCTTCACCACAGTCGACCTGCCTGACAAATGCAATGCGTCGCTATTGACCAGGCTGTTTCCAAACACACAGTATGGTTATAACAGGAGACGGGTGCAGGCATCAACAGTGGAGGTATGCTGCACGAACGAAACTATTTTACACTAGCTGTTATTTTCATTGGAGTTTCAAAGACGTGTATTTATTTTCATCGAGGCATCGAGCGTGAAAAATTGTTTCATCCCTTCATTTACCTTCCCACTGAAGTTAAAAACATGTCATTTGATCCAAATGCTTTTTTCACAGTAGCCGCTACAGTGCTATGTGCTTTCATTCTCCTTTTTAGACGCCCATGGGAGTTGTAAAGGAGGTGATAAATGGAAAAATCGTTTTCAGTGGATTTTGCATTCGAATATGGCACGAAATAGCAACGGCCTTAAATCTAAGGTAATGAACATATGTATCACCTTCAGGTTTGATAATCATTATGCGAACAACTGCTTTTTCAGCTGAATGAATTCACATATTTTGAAAAGTTGTAAACAAGAAACTATGTAAGAGAACTACTGATGTTCTGGATTTTAATTATCGTTGGCTGTTCACATATGACTCCATCCATCGTGATATTCACAAGCAACTGCATGCCACCAGACGTACCTGATATAAATTTCCTGAATAACACATGTTTTAATGCATGCTCGTACATGTATACACACGACGCTCACTGAAATGCGTGTGTCTTTTAGATGTCTAACGCTTATTTACCTTAATAACACAGCTACGACCTCGGTGAACCAGAGGATGGTGAATGGGGTTCTTTCATAAATGGCCAATGGACTGGTGTGGTCGGTCAACTGATGAAAAGGGTAAGATCATGGCATTAAATTCATATTTGTTTTAAGAAACTTAAAAGCGTAGTTAAGTTTGCTTTGGAATGTGTATGGGGGTAATACATCAGCATTTATTTTCATTAATCATTTTTCAGGAGATAGATATTGCCGTAACTGATTTGTCAGTTCACTACGGGCGATCACAGGTGATCGATTACATCAACCCTGCGTTTCTTGTCGACGGAGGGGACATAGTGTACAGAATCAAGACAGATTCTACAAGGTCATTCTTTCTGATTGCCAGACCGCTACAAGTTGACGTCTATCTGACATTCATTGCTTTAACTGCAGGTCTTCTTCTGATATTCATTATCATAGATAATCATCAGTATCTGTGTGAAGTGCCAATATGTAAGGGTATGTCAACTATATTCTCAAGGCAGCTTTCATCGATGGGTTTGGAGTTCATTGGGTCACTATTGAAACAAGGTTTGTATTCTTTCATGAATATGTTTCTTTATAATCATATGTATTGATTACCTATTCAGTTGGCATGTTTACTGCCCTTCAGTTTCGTTAAAATTGGATAGCATAATCTTTTGTTGAAGAATATCGACTGATAGTTTTGGTGTATACTGTATGTGGTGTTTTCTTCAGCTATCGTTATTATCGCAGAGAATTATATGTTTGACCTGCCATTGCGTCATTTGGTTAATATTATGACACGGTTTGACAGGAGCAGTGTACTGATAATCAATACATATGTTAAACCAACATGTGTTGCAATTCCGGGTTTGAATAAGTTCCCAGTGCTTCATGCATGTCATAAGATTGGTATTAGGTGGATATACACCACTGATGGATATTGCCGATTGCAGCTTCTAAAAGATATTCTGGGACTTTCATTACATTTATTCATATAACAATCGTTTTAAGGCTTCCAGATGCACGCAAAGAGTAAATCCGGGAGTGTTCTTTTGGCCTCATTCTCGATACTGATTGTGCTGATCTCATCAGTGTATAGTGCCAACCTCATTGCTTCTCTGACTGCACAATCAGTCGCCACTACCCTTTCGAGTATCGATGACCTCGTCGACAGTGACTACACTGTTGGCATTTATACTGCGGGTATTGATTACTCTGAGCTTCAGGTAAGAGTCCACACACGATTTTACAGTCATTAAAAAGTATGCATGAGTTCAATACGAGTTGGCATCTGTTTTATCTATTGTACGAATTCAATATATATGTTAAAATATAAATCTTAATTTGAACAGTCAGTTTTTTACCCTTAATGTGATATTTGACTGTGAGTTTAGTGATTTTCAACGTCATTTTTATTGTGTTTGTTACCATATGGTGAGATAATAGACCTTTCTTACCAAGCATTGAAGCAAGATTGCTGATGCGGCGTTCAGCAATAACCACTCATTCATTATCGTTTCTACACAAAAAGGACAAAAAAATAAATTCAGAACGCATCATCTGTCGGTATGCGTAGTGCTCCTTAAACAATTAACCCATCATGACTGTTACATGTACGACATCGGTGATAGAATGTACTAATTCGTACCTCCTCACTTTGGAAATAATTGCGTTTTTATGTAAACTTAGATCTGAGTTGTTTTCAAGTTTGTTTGCTGTTTTACACAGCAGTCAGAGGTAGTCCAGCTATATCTGTCTGGACGCTAGTGATTGAGATGATGATTAACGTACTCGAGTCTGAACGCTAGTGATTGAAATTATGATTAACAAGGGAAGGGCACGGTTCTAGTCAGTAGAAACATAAGTAAGTTTAATAGGTAGACAACAAAATAACAAACGTTGGAAAAGATTGTTCAGTTAAGCCATGCTGATACAGACTGTTCCCAGGAACTCGTCCGCAATAATGAAGTATTGTTACATTGATAATAGTTATTAGTTCGGAAAGCAGTCGTTTCGTATTTTAATGAACCAGGCTATCGCTGATGCATGTACATCTGTATGGTGTTTCTCTCCAGAATTCCGAACGGCCTAAAATTCGTCGTCTCCGTGACAAGATGCGAAAACTGAGTGAACATAACTCTGGGATATTCCTGAATAACAGGACGTCCCATATGATCCGAGTAAAAGAAGGTACACATGCTCATATAACCTACAGAGCAATAGCTGCAAAATACATGGCTGAAGACTGTCGCCTGGCCCTTATAGGGGATCCTATAACATGGGCCGAAGAACGTATTTCCTTTGGAATACTTAAAGGATCAACGCTTAAAGCGGATTTGGACAAAGTGTATGTAATATAGCCTTGAATTCGAAGTTGCTACACCCGTAAAATATTTTGTATTATGTCTCTCATGTCCTTAGTCGTGTCACTTACCTGTCAGGATCTGCTGTTCGTGATTCTCAGAATCGCTCCATCTGCGATCCTTGTCAGCACCATAACAGATGGGTTTTTTTTCTCTTTCTCAGCCGTTTTACCCCGACTCACTCACTCCCTATTTAAGTTTGTAGTTTTTTTTCCAGTGTATACTAAACTAAAAATGAACAATAGTATTCTTACAACGTTTTTATTTTGATCATTTCAGTATGTACAAGCTAAAGGAGAGCGGTTTGCTTGAAGAATGGTGGAAGCAATGGAATGCCAGGGACACAGCCAGCTCTTCCTGTGAAGATGACAGCAGCAGTGTCAGGACCATCACACTGAGGGAGGTGGGAGGAGGCTTCCTTGTTGTGTGTGGAGGACTAGCGCTGTCAAGTCTGGTGTTGATTGTTGAAATGTGTAGACAGCGATTACAAAGAAAATCAAACTAACACTATTCATAATATGCGTATATAACGAAATTTCCGTCAATGTTACTATCACGGCCGAGAAAACAGAGAATTAACTTCATCGTCCCTTTACGGATAATTGAACCTGGGACTTCGGCTCAGCTGATGAAACTTCAACTATTAGGCAATTGTACAATCACTATTTCAAATAATTATATCCGAATAAATATCATATTTTGCAATGTCCTTGTGTTTTGATTTCTTATTGTAACTACCATAACTTAGCTTTTTTTCAGCCGAATGAATTCCCACATTTTGAAAAAACGTCCTGGACCTGACTTCAGCATGAACTTTACATGGGGATGAATATTATTGCTCCCAGAATAAACATAATAAATAAATACATTTCAATCCATCTAAACTGTACTTTTACTGTCATTATTGCTTCCTGAATTGTCATTACAGGTCACGTCGGAACGTCCTGTCGTGCGACCATGTTTCGTGATTTCTAACATGTCTTCACGCAATATTGTCTTTGGTAATTTCAACATATGCACCCATATGACGTATTACGTTTTAAAGTGGTGATCCTTAGCAAACATTGAGAAGGATATAGTAAAATAAACGGGACATGCAAAGACTTCCCAGTTAACGTTTGATGAGCGTTAACTTTGGAGTCTTCCAAAGACATTAGTATCACACATACTTACTTACTTGCTTACTTAAATTAGGAACGTAACGTGCGCTCTCCGACATATGCGTATTTCGCGCACGGGCCAAGCCATTTAGTGTTTGGTCGAAAAGGGTATGTCCGAAGAGGTAAGGCAATCTAGGTGGAGCTTTTTGCTTACTTAATTTGGAAAATAAATTTGGAATTTTGAAATATGCCATGCAAAAGGTGGAGGGAGGGAGGACTAAAAGGAGTATGTGTGTTTTTATAGGTGTAGAATATTAGGGTTTATTGGCAGCTTGTTTGTTGTACTCTTATTTCTAAATGCGGTCAAGTAGGCCTGGTTTGATTAGATATATGCCTAGTGCTTTAAAGGTTTGTAAGTCATTTAGGGGTTTAGTACCGTTGCTAGTGTCATTTGATTGTTGCAAATTAGTGTGGATTGGAGTGTTGTTCTGTGTTGCTGGTAATGTGTGCAGTATAGTATTACGTGTTCAGGCGTTTCTTTTAAGTTGCAGTGGGGGCATTTACCGGTTTGGTGTGTTTTAATTCGGTGTAGGTGGGGGTGTAACTTAGTGTGGCCTGTTTTTTGTGGCAGGTGTTTTAGGTTGCAATCAGATTTCTGATAGTTATTTTGCCACTTTGGGAAGATTTTCTTACTTGTGATACTTTTAATTTCGTTTTTTTGATATTGGTAGGGTGATGCTTTTTCTAATTTTACTGCTGATTTGGCTGCTTTGTCTGCGTGTTCGTTGGCAAACACTCCAACGTTGACAAGGATCCAGTCTATTTCTACGTCTCTATCTAGTTTACGTAGATTGTTGGCTTGTTGATAATGTATTAATTATCTGTTGTATTAGTTTGGGTGTTTTTTGTTTTTTATGGCCTGGAGCCAACTTAATGAGTCTGAAAGGATTAGGGCTTTTTGGTGTCTATATATTTGATCGCTGTGCAGGGCTGTTACTATCCGCATTAATTCTGCTGTGAAAATTGATTGATTATTTGAGAGCCTATATGATTGTGTTTCTTTGGGGGGTTTGTTGATATGGATGCCGAATAATGTGCGTCAAAGGACCAGTCTGTGTAAATGTGACACCAATTTGGCCATTTTTCGTAAATGTATGCTAGTGTGATGGATTAAGCGGGATTTGGATCAGTTTCTTTATTCAGTTTGGTGGAGAGAGATATGTCGATTTTTGGGGTTCCGAGTTTTGGTGTGAAGGTATTATTTTGGGCTGTGTTGTACTGTAAGTTACTTAGGTTGTGTGTATTTAGGTAATTTATTATGCGTTGCGAGATTGGTGTTTATTGGGGGGTTTTGCGAGCTAGAGCTTGGAATCTAGGGCTTATGTTAGTTTTAAGGATCTATTGGATTTGTTGGTTTTGTTGGGTTGAGGCCGAGTAATTTATTGTTAGGTGTTCTCGGCGTAGATCCAGGGGTATTTCGCCTGACAGTGCCTGTAGCGATATGCGCGGCGTGCCATGCTGAGTGCCCGTGATTATCTTGTATCACAAGTAACGCGTTTGAGGTCTTGTAGAAATCACGTTATAATTACGAATCTCATGAACAACACATAAAATGAAAACAAAAGATCAACTCCAAAACCATCCTACCACAGGCGATTTAATAATACTAGAAAGAACAAAGACACCGCGCGTGTTGCGTGGGAGGCGTCTGTCCAGACTTGCAGGTGTGATCAGTGATGGCATAAGTGAGCGGACTCTTGTCTTGACCCCAGCAGTGACAAATCACAGGATGTAAATTAGTGTTTGAATGGCATTGTTTATATACTTGTTACAAGTGCTGCTCAATAAACAGTGATGTGGAATACACAGTTGTTTCTTTTCAGCGTATATCTAAGTTGGTATTTCTGCTATCCAAAATGTCTTATTGTTGATATAAATGCGATGTTTAATAATACGAGCAAAGAACACGAACATTTTTCGTATTTTATTCACGCTTGCGTTAATTTCAAGATTTACAGCAGTTAGGTTGAGCAGGTGTTGTATAACATATAAATAATCATAAATCCGAAGTATCCCACTAAATCTTAAAGTGTGCACCGCTGCGAATCTTAAACTGATGTACGACTGTTATCAACTTTATGCTTATGCCCCGAAATTCATATGTAATACATTGCATAATTATGTATGCCTGATATATGTATTTGTGAAAGTGCAATTTGGTATAATTTTCATTTAAAGACCGAACGGTTTGAGAGTTACCACCGTGTTGTTGTAATGTGTGCATGGTATTACCGTATTGCGGAATTAGTAGTGTGGTAAGCGCTGTTTCGTACATGAGGCCAAACAAGTGGGTTTGTTGTTTTGAATGGTTTCAGTACTAGTTTGAACCTGCTTCGCATTCTATACTGATGGTACAGTGACAGTTTATGCCAAGTATTTCACTTCTAAAAACATGTTTGGATGTATCATGTCATAGAATCAAGCAGTGTATCAGAAAAAAGGTAGAATCAAATGTGTATTGACTGTATTCAATGTTGGTACATAATGTGAATTGGCACCTGTACATATGCCATCCACCACTTTCCAAATGCCAATACAAAGCACATACATTTTAATATCCATGCAGAGCTCTTGTAAACCATTCAATATATTCATCAGGAAGTGCAGGTAACCTATAGCTATCCACCAGTTAACTGCTTTTTCATGCTAACACATTAACATCATTAAGACACAGTATGCTTTCAGTTGTCAGACAAAGCTCAAGCAATTCAAATTTCCAAACACACGTCATACAAAAGGGTATTGATCAATATGACTGTTGATCGGGATCTCTATACGTAGGTGTGTCCTAGATGCATGTAACTGACTTGGTATGATTAACGTGTGATACTGATGATTGTAGATGATGCTCAGTCAATCTTATTATGCTTATTGTTTAGCTGTCGTATCCGAAGAGAAGAAAATAATTAAATTTAGTGATTTGCCGTGGTTATATATTTGTTTGATTACAGAAAAATGACAAAATAAGAAGACTCACGTGAAGATATAGTTCAACCATAGGATAGATGATGACTGAGTGTATGTTGTTAAATTCCCAATATATAACGATGGTCTGTAAATAATCGTGTCTGAACAAAACGATTTTGTGACATTAGCAGCGCTCCACGCCGTCCCCCAACGATGACACTTAGACAATTTTTGAGACTCACCAATTTAATTGCCACCGACGATAAGCAATAGAGTGCTAGAGTTCTAACCCTCATCCCCACGGTTTCTACCAGAAAAAAGCAACTGCAACCACAGCTCCATTATATTGGAGACTGTAGCCTTGTAGTAGAGCGTTCGATCCCCGGCCATGTAATACCACACTACGTTAAAAGATTGTACTTGTTGATACCCTGCCTGGCGCTCTGTATTAAGGGGCTAAAACAAGGTTTGGTCGGCTCGGAGTCATTCTGCGTGAAGTTTTCATATTAAAACTGCAGTATGGTATATCAGTGATCACCATCAAATCGGCATTAGTCCGGACGAGTACAAGCAGCCACACACACACGCACACGCACATGTACATGCACATGCACATCCACGTGCATGTACGTCGCTATATAAGTGCAACAATCTTGAACGCGGCGTTAAACCCCATTTCACCTCGCCTCGCCTCGCCTCGCCTCGCCTCGCATCGCATCACATGACATCCTGTTTGCCCAAAAAGGCCTCCATGATGATATGGGCAATATTCTTGCCAGAAAGTCGAGACCTGTAAATAATCCGAGTATGGAACAGACAAATCTGTCAAAATACCACGGCATAGGGGTATGATCAATTAATCAACTGGGTTAGCGAGCATGACCACCCGATGCACTGAATCACCTCTAACGACAGGCATAGATTGCTTGGGACCAAGCCTTACCTGCAATTCCGCCGGGTGGAAACGGTTTTGACAGGTGATTTCAGTTATTATCACAGTGTTCGTTTGTTTGTTTGTTTGTTGCTATATGACGGAGGTCTGTAAAGAATCGAGTCTGGACTAGACAATCCAGTGATTGATTTCATGAGCATCGATCTACGTAATTGGGAAACGATGACATGCATCATCCAAGTCAGCGAGCCTGACCACCCGATCCCGTTAGTCGCCTCTTACAAGCATAGTAGCCTCTTCCGACAAGCTATAAAGACCTATTCTAACCCGGATCCTTACGGGTCTATTATACCAGTGAGTCACTTTCATTTTGGAGAAAAACAGAAGTTTCACACGCCGTAGATTTCTCCACTTTGGAAAAAAACAGGAGTACGGGTACACAGCTGCGACACCAAGGATCATAATTGGGGTAAATCTGGCGATTCCACATAGGGGATTGAGGCACCTGAGGTCAACGGACAGTAATTACACACAACTTAGTTACTGAATTTGAAGAAATAAAGTATAACATTTATACATATAAACGACGCCATTTGTTTACAGTGAAATCGACATCAACTATAGTTACTGCAGTATCATGGTTGTAGTTGTAGAAACGATCAATAACTACGTCATACACTT